TCTGGAAAGCAGAACCATGCCATACTCTGCATCTGCTCGGTGGCTTGGATGTAGCTCTTCCTGTAAGTTCCATTTCATGCATTTATTTCCTGCCATGATTGATTTCTGTGGTTATTCGTTCAGTCACGCAACAATAACTGAATGTAAGCTGGTTATTTGTCTGTTCTATATGCTACCCCATACATAAGAAATGTCTTTACTTTTATGAAAGCTCAAAAGGCATGAAGCATCATCTATTGAAGTGGTGATGAAAATAATGTGTGGAATGTGGAAAAAAAAAAAAGACAGAATTCTCCCTTTATGAAGACTGAAGTCCTAGCATTGATATTATTCATTTCATCTGAATAATTAAGCAGTAACGACAATGGCATTAGGCTATTTCAGGCAATTAATTATCAGCTCTAGGGGTTGATGGCCTGTGAGGAAGCTAAGGGACATTAACCTCTGCTGGCTATTAGTCATTCAGATATTGCCATGTGCTGACGCTATTGCAAATTTCTCCCATTTTTTAAATACACAAGTTCAAAGTTACACTAAAAGCATCCGCAGTGTAATTACGGTAAGGGAGCCAGATATCTCTGTAGCGATAGCAAGCAGCAGCATCAGTGCCGTGATGGCACAGAGATCTCCTGAGGATATCTTGGCTCCTCTGTGATCCCTGGGGCTGTGGAGCTGCTGAGGAAGAAGGGCTAGAAGACACATACTCATGTTTTCTGTTGTCCAGGACTGAGGTTAGACTCTGTCCTTGTGGCGACTTTATACATGTCCTATGCCTGCCAGTGCAAAGTGCAAAGTGCCCTGAGAAACAACTAGAAGGTTTTGTGCTTTTCTTGGCCTCTGCATGAGTTCCAGCCCTTCAGGAATGAAATAAACAAGGATGGAAGACAAGGATGGAAGTTTGGCTGTTGTTAGCACAATCAGGGCAAGGGCCAGAGGAATTCATTAGGCGCCTTGGGCAAGAGCCTAGGAGGTGGCTTAGGACAGAGCTGAGAGAATTAACATCCAAAATTTGAAAAAGAGGGAAATAGACTAATGGCAAGCAATGCTATCTGCTGGACAGGGACTCCCTCCTGAACCAAATAATAACATGAGAGTCACAGTGGTTGCAGTGTGTTATGTTACAAACAAGTTCTCTCCTTCCATCCAGTATGGCTGATATGTTTTCTCCATTAGAATTCCCATTCTTAGATACATATGCATATGTATGTATGTATAAATGTATCAGATAACCAAATGTTTAAATAGCTTTCATGAAGTGCATTTATGGGGTAATTATTTAGGTCTTTCTTTTAATTAGAACTGGTTAACTGGGAACATCTGATCTGTCCTTCTCCCAGTGTTCCCAGACATGTCCCTTTGCAGCCTGTAAAACTGTCCCTATGCTGGCCACGCAACACAGATGAAACAGAGCATTGTGGTTTCAAAGTGCAACCTCAGAAGTCAGACAGATGCTAATTACACCATTTAATAACACAAACAAGCATAAAAAGACACAGTCCCCCAAGTCTGCACTAATCAATTTAACATGGGTCAGTTGACCATTAACAAAGATGGAATCGGAAGAATAATTTTTATCTCATTGGCAGAAAATTTACTTGGTTCATTTTTGTATTCATGTTTGGCCTTGGGAAGGTAGCCAGGGCTTTTTATAATGGAATGATGCTACATGTACCTGCGGTCTATGGAGTCACATTAGTTGCTGATGCAGTTTTGCTGCAGAGAAAAGTAGTCCAGTTCATGTGAGATTGCTCTATTGCTTTTTTCACTGCACTACTTGCACAGACTGATGAAACGAGAGTGTGAGAACTGCAGGAAAAAGTAGCTAACCAGCATGTATCACTTCTGTGAATGATGGAATTTTTATATGGTGCAGAGTTTATTCATTTTGTTGCATCTTGCTTTATCTACAGGCCAAAACTATAATTGTTTTCTTGTTGTAAAGAAGAGACAAAGGGATGCCATCAGTTCTACCGTACTGTTGGAGCAATAGAGACAAATTGCAAATAAACCTTTTTCCACCACCCACATGCAGAAAACTGCATGCAGATTTCACACCAAATTGCTTTATTGGGCTGTAGATCCATGATCTACTCTCAGATTCTTCTTTAGTATTGCAAAAAGTGAGCAGTGAGTTACAAGGCCACTGACCACTGGGCCTGCCAGTACGAGAGTGGAGCAAGACCAAGTCGTATCCTGGAAACACTCCATGCTGCACTATTGATTCTTTGTCAAGAACGTTGTTTTCTAATCTTGTTGACTAGCTTTCCATGGTTATCATTTTTTAAGTCTCTACTATACGGCATTTGGGAAGGTATGGGTCTAAGGGAGCTGGTCGTGAATTTTCAGAAGGAAACAGCGAGAGAGTGGAGGATGCATAAGCTCAGCCCAACCTTACCAGCCCTGTATAGTCAGCTGCCCTGTGTCCCTTTCTGCCTTAATTAAGGCTAGCAAAATATGCTTACCTCAGCCAAAATCCCTCACAGCCTTTACTGCAGTGATGAGTGCAATGAAAATGCTCAAGTTATTACATTCACACATTAAAAAAAAAAAAAAAATTAAAAAAGGCTTACTTTTATGGGTAATAATTTTGCAGCTAGTTGAGTTTCCCTGGCACTTAGATTTATTTAGAGGGTTTTTTACTACTCATACTTTCTTAACCTTAAGTTTCTTAGCCTTGATATTCAGAACACCTTCTCTTGTATATGCTACTCTCATTAGTCTACTGCCTTCAGATTCACAAACTAGTTCATCAAAAGAAATCACCTTTAAACCTTGAATGTCAGCCTTCATTCTTTCTCTTCCCATTTTTCATTTCACGTTAATGTTAAAACACTGGTATGTGTTCCTCATTTATTACTACAAAGAGCAAATTCACTCCAGATTCATTTCGGATTCATTGCAGTAGATGCCTTGCACACAAGAGGGCAGATCTGCTTCTCCTTTCATACTCGGTAGTCCCCGTTCACCTGTAACTTTACATTCACCCGTGCATCTGGAGCTGAGTACCACAGAGAAAGCACTGCAGTAAAGATGGGGCTTGGTCTCAATAGACACTGCCACTGAAGGACGGTCTAAAGGCCTTTCATTCTGCAAAAGCAATGCCCGTAGAGTATAAGCACTCAATGTTAAATGTGTCTTTATGTTATTATCACCGTGGTTATCTAACCTAACCTCTGTGTTTGCAAACTTTAAGAAAAACAGGGAGGGTTTGCACTTGGGATTTCCATGCCAGCCGCCATCTACAACATCCCCCTTCCCCTAATGCAATTTTAGAGGCTCAGACCACAGGGACCAGTTTACAGCCGCTTGGAAGATTTAATTTTGAAACCTTCTGACAGGGAGGAAATAGCCCCAGCCTGGAGGTGGGCTGAGGACTCTGCAGTCCCCTCACTGCCTGGGAAGTTAGGCCAGTGTCTGAGATATCCTTGAGGCTGTATGCAACCTAGCAGAAAAAAAGAAGTCTACTTCTTCTCCTATCAAGTACTGAGTTACCTTAAACAAAAGGCCCTACACAATGATGTTAAGCCACAGAGCTGCATCGGCTTCACCGTGTGGCACCAAAAAAAAAAAACCAAACCTATAAGAAGGAGTAAATTTTGATGAACAAGAGCTTATTTTTTAAAAAGAGAACGCACTCTACAACAAACACTTCTCTCACAGCACATGGAGTGGAAAGAATTAACACAGTGTTTGCCTCCTGAATGCCCTTGGACTAAACCTGAAGTCAGTGAGTGGGTAAATCCAGGCTTTTTAAGGGAAGAGCAGAGGTCAGATAAGCTGATCTTTAAAAAGAAAAAGAAAACTGGAAAAAAGAGAACTGACCACAGCTTATCTGGATACATTTCCCTTGCACTTTATGTTGCCTTTTGACTCTGTCATATCCCATGTAGTTCATCCGCAGCAGCAGATTTTCGCTGCCACCAGTGTCACTTGGTAGCTGTCCAACGAAAGGCCACCTGTTGGAGACCATCTCAACACGAGAGACAAATGCCAGCTTTAAAAAAAAACACAGGGATACGGGTAAAGCCATTCATGTCAGATGTAATTAGAGATTTACTGGGACGTTGCTGGAAGAGCCCCTGGAACTTTCCAAAATGCTGGACTGCTGACTGCCAAATGCGTTTGCTTTTCCATTTTAACAATCAATGAAGCTGCATACGTGGAAAGACTGATGAACTACTTCTCATGTCAATCACAATTAAAGAAGTGCTAATCATGTTAAGGAGATGTTAATCATAAATTAAATTAAATGAATGACACATGCTCTCATACAGTGCACTCTCCAATTGGCAAAGCCATCTAAAGACACTCTCCTTTTCTCTCTACAGCATGCCTGTTTGGTCTACAAGTACATAATAATTGATAAGATTAATAAGATTATGGCAATGCACTAAAGTAAACAGTATTCTTGCTATCTGTAGATATCTTACTTTTACAGATGCTTCTGCATAGTCAGGTCATCAATTGATCTGTCTTGTAAATATATCATATTTATACATATTCTAATATTTATAAGCATACATGTGAAAAGCTGCTGAAAAATCACTCTATGGACTCACAACTATTCAATGGGGAGGAAAAAAGGAGTTTGTGTAAACGTGTTCCCTGAGCAAGCCAACAACGGAAGACAGCTATTCAGTAGTGCTACATTGGGATTTGCATTCCATTAGGCAGGTCAGTACAAGGAATATGCATCAACAGGTACTGAAGTGGCATATCCAAAAGTTTTCTTAGCCAGGGCTATAAAGTGCCTCTTCTGCAATCAAGGGAGCTTCAACAAATGCGTATGTAATTCTTTAAGATTTTAATAATGATAGAGGAAGCTTGTGAGATTGGATACACCTATGGACATATACATAATAGTGAATGTAGGGAATGTAAAGGCAAGTAATACAAATTAGAAAATACACTGTGTAGGAAAACGAGAAATATGAGTACTGTGGCTGGCTATTGGCAGAGAACTTGGGGCAGTTCACCTGTGCTTATCAGCTTTCCTCATCTATTGCTTTTGTGCACTGCTGGTGACAGGGTGCTGTGCTGGCTGGCTGTGCTGAGAAGGACAGCCTGTTTTCCATCTACCAGGAGCAAAATACTATCTGCAATACCATCCGATTGCTAGAGGGACATGACAAACTATTCAATACGAGTGAGGATTTTTATTAGTGTTAGCAAAAAAGAAAAATGACCTCTTCTGATAGTAATTTTGTAGAGATCTCAGAGCATCATACAAATCCCAGAAGCGTGGGAACATGCTGATTCTGTGTCAGCAGCAGCCTGATTTCAGCTGTTGAGCCTGACATTAGACATTAGCAAATAAAAAATAACAAAAGGCCTTGAAAACGGAAGAAGCAGCAGAGTCAGACAGTTTAATTAATGCTGATCCACATAGCTTTATGGAAAATCAATCTGTTTGTAAAAAAAAAAAGTCTTTCCTTTCTTGACAAGATTACCAGTTTGCATGATAAAGGAGCTTGACAGAAGAAGAAATACTCTTGGATTCTCCTTACAGGAGTCCTGTGTGACACATGGGCTAGCGCTACCAATACAACACACTAAATGTCTTAAGCTATTAAATTATTTGTCAAGGGGTCATTTCTAGTATTGTTCTGCAGGGATTTATATTAAGAGTTGAACTTTCTCAGTTGAGAAGTATATAAAAATTATTCCTAGCAACATGGATAAATGATAAAGAGATGCACAATGATGAGGAAGGAACAGTGATGCAGAACAACTTCCATCACTCACTGAATCTGAGCTTCAACCCTTATCTCCAGACTGGGGAATCCATGAGCAGTTCTGGGTGTGCCCTGCACCAAGTGTGGGGTTACAGCCAAAACGTGCTGTGATGCCATGGCCAAATGGGGTTGCACATCAAAGAGCCACAAGACAAAAGCCAGGCCATCGTCATGGGGTGGGCAACAGGATCCTCAGGAATAACAACTCCCTTATGGCAGCTCAAGAGGTGACACCAGACAAGGAGCAGCAGTTACCTGGGGCATTGCCAGCAGCCTAGATCCTGGGTATATAATCAGAGGAGCAGAGAATTAAATTTAGCTCCGTTGTCAACATAGATACCAGCAAGTAATTCTGGTGTCCTGATTTTCAAAGGGACTTGCGAGGGTACAGAGCCTGCAGCAAAGAGTCGCCAAGATGAACTGAAGGCTGGAAAAACTGCTTTTGTGCTCAGAGACAGGAAGAAGCTTCTAATTCTTCAAAAAACAGGCTGAAGAGAGGGTCAGATTCTGTGTGCAATTTCCTGTGTGAGGAAAAAAAAAAAAAAAGAGTCTTAGTTATCTGAAGGTTAAATCCAAGTGAATTTGAATCATCAAATCAGAAACAGTGACAGATATTTTCAGCTGTGAGACTTACTGGAACAAGTGACAAAGGAAAATGCTGTACTTGCCATCATTATGTGTCTCTGAGTAAGGGCAAATATTTCTGGAGTAACCTCTTCTCTCCTCTCCTAGATAGATTATGGCGTTAGTTGTGAAGCAGATGAGATGCAAGTTATCAAGAAGTTGCTTCAACACATCAGGATTGAACAGAGGTCATGCTCCTACAAAGACAATGTGGGTCACAGCCACATAGTGAGGCCCAGTAAATGTCACTGCAGAGACTACGGCTGAGTCCCTGGGATCAATAGCCATTTAAATAGTTGGCTGGATTTCTTCCCACTGGTGGCTGTGTCACAGTGGCTGCAGTAAGGTTGCTTATATGCCTGAATTCAACCCAGGTGTGGGAGAGGGGGATGGCCATCAGAGCATGTGCTGGAAATTTGTTTAGATATCTCAGATCGCACTCTACAGTGTGGAACAGACACACATCTCCATCCAGCCCAGCACTCTTACCTGTTTACTTTAGTGCTGCTGTAAGCCAAACACGTTCCTGCTTCTCATCAGTTGCCACATAACAGCCCCTTTTGTTGTCACAACCCAGATCTTGCACTTGACCAAGTGATCTTAGTTGCTTCAGGCTGCTCTTAGCTGGTTTTCCCTCTCCCTTGTCAGATATGAAGTTTCAAGTGACTCAGTAGGGTCTTTCTGGGAAAGGCGAATTTGCTCAAATGGAATAATTTCTGTAAGTATTCTTACCTCTAAGTTGCAAATGTCATTTTAAGTGACTGTTTAGTGTTTGCACAGTCGGTTTCATACACACTGAGGAGAGTTTCAGACCTGTTGACTTCAACTGTTCATGGGACTGGCAGTGATGTTTGTGAATTCCAGCTTCCCCATTTACCTCACTGAGCTCCAAGTTTATACACTGTAAATAACCGAAATAAAATATTAACATCACACAGCTAAACAGAGAAAGTTACATGGTATTCTGCACTACATTCTTCTCCATTTTCCACTGGAAAAAGAACAAGTAGGGCAAAGTATATAGCAATATATTGGTCAAGAAAACATTTTCTTTGCTTCTCTAGATAACAAAATACCTTGACTCACATATAACTTATGTAGAGCATGCAGTTGATTCAGAGAAGGCCTTAAAATGACCCATTAATCTAAGTTCAATTGGAAACTAGAATAGCTGTAACTGATCTGTTGTCACAACAGCAGTACACAGAAATCATAGGAACAGGTGGAGAAGATAACACTGCTAAAAAGTAGATGTTTTCCCACAGAATCCTCAGGCAGCTACAAATGTTGTCATTGTTTTCAAAGAGACATTACCAAGATAAAAAAAAGTATAATAGATGAAATAGAATAGACATGGTTTCCTTATCTCTGTTTCCCAGAATATTGCTTACAGTTCATTTTACCTTTTTTTTTTAAAAAAAAATTTATTTTTATTTTAACCACCCATTAATTCTCATGAATCAACACATTGCTTATATGGTAGTTTTTTCACCATGAGATCCTCTAATTGGACCAGTACTAAAGCAGAAAGCAGAGGGATAATGCACTTATTAACTTGAAGTTTGTTAGTGTTGACCAAAGTTAATACAGAAATACTTCCTGCCATACCAGAGAGGGTTTTTAATCTCCTAAATATTTGTTCATATCAGCCATCAGTCCCAGAAGTGTCCGCAGCCATGAGATTGCTGGAGATGCTTGGTCTACTGGGGTCCTGCGTCTTCTGGTCTTGATATGCAGCTGGGGGAGGAAAATTGGGAAACTCTCTCAAAGTGACTGCAACACATACAGAGCTCTCTCTCTGTCTCTGTCACACCCCTCCAGTGGAGGAATTCATGTGTAGTGGCCTCAGTTATCCTTCACAGACCTTTTGCTCTTCCATATAGGTTGCTCTGATGGCTCACCCCCTCTGAAGCTCTCCAGCATCTTTCTCATCTTTGCTTGTGTAACCTTTCTGCTACTGAGCAGGGTTTCTTGCTGTCTGAGAAAACGTGAAAAGAGTAAAAGAGCACATAAACCATCAGCACAATAAGAATGTACAGCTTGCAGTCATCATCAGGGTTTTTAATTGTTGTTTGTAGATCTCGTTCCTGCTGCACAATTTGCTTGGATGGAAAAGGCTACCCTTGTCTGGGCTGCTTGCATGGAAGCTTCTTTGTTTTTTAGACCCAATCCTTCTCGAAGTCAAAATAAAGACAGTGTGTTCAGTCACTCAAATTATATTCCATTTCCCAGGGCAATAACCCAAGACTACAAAAATTCATATGAAGCCTCCAAAAAAGAATAAACAGCAGCCTTGTCGCATGTCAAACAAGAGCTATGCTTTTGTTGAGACTTGCTTAAGAGAAACATTATCAGATCTTGTTTTGTTCTCTCACCAAGGACTGTATGCAGAAGCATAAATTATCCAAGTATTCAGTATTTAGGATACGCCAGATCAGAAGTGTCCATTACTGTGCTCTCCACTGTGTTCCTCAAAACAGTGCTCCTATGCTGGGCTGCCTAATGATCCACAGAGTGTTGACCTGATGGTCACATGAAGGGATTTTCTTTTCCATTGTGAAAGATGTTTCATGTCACAGCTATGAACCACAAAAGTGCGAGCTAGGAAAGCTTCTCAGGAAGCTCTCTGGGTCAAGATGGGAGACATCTGGATGTTTACAGCTCTTGAAAAGCTCAGCCACAAGCTTCAGAAAAGAGGCCACAGCACAGTGGATACATTAATAAAGATGTTTTTTTCCCTGGAAATGTACTTGCTGGCTTGAAACTAGCCTCTCTTTAGGCAGAAATGTTCAGTGCTCAACAGGCGCTTGAGCATCACCTCCTGATTGTTGAAGTGAGTTATAGGATAGGGGGCCATAGGGGAGACGTGCCTACGGTGATCTTATAGGCACCTAATCCCAAGTGGGCTTCCTCAAACCAACCTCCCCCCCCCTTTTTTTTTTTTTTGGCTTCTTAAGATGTGCAACCAGAAGTATAAAGATGTAGATCAAAATGCTATTTCCTGTTAATTTGTCATTCTTTCTGCTACTCATACTGCATAGCACATCCAAACCTAACTGCAAACCTTTTATGATTTCCCTGAATAGTTTAGACAGATTATTTTTGTAGTGCAGAAGCCTTGTTCCCTTGATACCTTTCCCAGGTAGATAACCTGCAGTAAGAAATAACACTGCAGGTGAACCAAGTTATTTCACACAGGCTAATGAACAGCCACGTTATGGCATAAATCTTCAAGGCCTCCATTTAGCTTATATGCAACTGACTGCCATTTCTTAAGGGAAATTTCAGACTAAAAATCAGTCCTGTGGACCATTCAAAAACTATGAACGCACAGAACACTGATCACTTTCCTTCTGGACTACGTGTTGACCTTTTTGTGCATTCTCTCTAATTTACTGGTGAAGATGTAAAAATAGGCAGCAGAAATATGGAAGCAGAAAGCTGTCACCGTGTCATTTAATCCTCACCAAAAATCTCAAAGCACTGTGATGTAATTAGCTGAGATGCTGCAAATGATTGTTGTGTGGGTATTGGATTACGACTTTATGGAAGAAGCAAACAGAAGGAAAAGATGAATTAGTGGAATGTAAGAAGTAAAGCAGCTTACTTACCATGCCTTGTAACCTGAAAGAAAATCCAATAAAAGCAGAAAACAAACCATACAACCCAGTAGTTCAGTAAAGCCATCATTAAATTGGATTTTTTTTTCCAGTATATTAAATTAAATCACTTCTGCAAATGAAGAAAAAAAAAATCTGTGTCCTCCATTATTAATTTACAGAGAAAAGGCCAAGAGCAGTTCCCTCATTCACTTCCATGACGCAGCAAAGCTCTGAACAATGATCAAAGTTCTATCCTAACTTGTAGTCCGTGCAACCTTTCATGTATTTGTTTTTAATGGCTATCAAAAATGCTATTATCTTAAAAAGTAATGGGCAAGTGCCAAAACCTTTCTTTTCCTGAAGTCAGAGAGGGTGGGATCCACTGCCTTCTGCACTGAGTTTATCCTGGAAGATCAGAACTGAGTTCAGGGGTAGACTTTTGCTCTTTTGCTCTACTGTGGGTAGACTGTGGGCTCAGGGGTAGACTTTTGCTCACGTCTTTTGCTCTACTGTGGTCTAACCAGATCAGAGGTATGGGGTCTGCTGATGCAGATGAGTGTTTGATCATACTGATGTCTGTGGCCCTGATCTTCTTAACTCTTTCTTACACAAGGACCAGAGACAACCACTTAATATTAATTATTTCTTGCTTTCTCTTCTCTCAATCTCTTTTAACACTTGAATATTATGTGGGATTCCTGTCTGGACTTGATTTAACACTTGCCAGTGAAGGCCATTAACCCCAGAGACAGGACAGTCTCTCACCTTGTTTTCTCTTCTGCTTGAAGACTCCTCTCCTGCTGCTCACAACCCCATTTCAGAGATAACAGCCTCTCCTTGGGGCTGTGGGGACAGGCTAGGCCCCCAGAGGGAGACACCCTGACTCCATTTGGCAGGTCAGACACTGTGCAGGTATGAACTTGGCAAAGGCACGATCTGATCCACCGACCCTCCCTTTTCTCCTCCTGAGGTCAGCGCGCTTGTTTTGCCTGCAGCTCCTGAGTGACAAAACTAGCATGGCTATAGAGATAAGGTAGAAAATTAATGAACAATTGAGGACTTTGAAAATCCAGGGGTGAGATGGAGAGAACCAGGCAAGAAACTCTAGAGCTAGCAGCCAGCAGGGCATTGGCAACAGAACTCCACAGCTCTCCTGGGGTTTGTATAAACTTTCTACTTTTACATCCATGGAAGTGACTCACAGCTCCTGCAGAACTGGATTTCAGGATGACGACGCAGAACCTGGCACACAGCCATCCCATGCTGCTCCTGTTCTTGCTCAGCACTATTGCTCTCCTCCCACATGGCATTTGCTTTAAAACACTAGAGCTGGTTCCAGGGAAAGTTTGGAAACGCTAACATGAAGGCAAAACTGGAAACATGCCTCTAAAACAAATTTCCTAATTAATTTGATATAGAGGAGACTGTTTAGTAAGGTTTTTGGGTCCCTGGGCTCTGCAGAATGCTGAAAGACTTTTAGGAGGGAGCAGCTGTTAGCTACACTGCTGTATATGTCCTTTGTATAGTCATTCTGTGTATGTGCGTATCACATAAGCACTACGAGCCTTTGATCACTTTCATATACATAGGAAGAGGGGTAGTGCTCTTATATCTGTGGGTTTTGTGTTGATTTTTTCTTCTTTCCTACAAAAATCAAGATGATAAAGCAACTAGTTAGAGAGTAAACAAAAAGAACGAGAAGCACATAGGGTTTTGAGGTTATCACCACATTAGATGTCAGAGAATGCACTCATATGCCTCAAAGGGGAGGTGGCAATTCAAAATTATGCATTATTGCTGAGCCTAACAAAAATATATAAAAATACTTTTCTATCTTATGTTTGATGGAGTAGAAGGACCTAGTTCTTGTTTTTAACTGCTAAAAGGTCTCTGCTTGTTGTATTTAGTGCGTATCTCGCATATATTCCAGCATTTTTTCCAGATTTGGCATCTTATAGAATATAAACCTCAACACGTCCTTATTTTTACTCGTCTATATTTCAATTTTTATCATGGCCTGAAAGGTATTAAGGGATCTGTCAAACAAAGATAGGAATTTGTTATTAGCTTAAAATCTGTTACTCACCTTCACGACAGAAGCATTGCTCTTTATTGCATGTTTCTGGTCTCTATCAGGGTTCACAGGCACAATGGCAATACAGATAAATAATAACTGCATCAAGTGCCAAATGGCACAAGTGCAAAAGTAGTTTGTACCAGCTGAGCAGCACTTCCCTCTTGCTTTGCAAGGAATTTTTATTATTTTTTTTTTTTTTTTAAAGAAAAAAAGAAAAATAAATGGGAAGAAAAAAAAGTGATAGAAACATCCAGGTTATTAGGTTAGATATTAGGAGGAAGTTTTTCACACAGAGGGTGGTGACACACTGGAACAGGTTGCCCAAGGAGGCTGTGGATGCCCCATGCCTGGAGGCATTCAAGGCCAGGCTGGATGTGGCTCTGGGCAGCCTGGTCTGGTGGTTGGTGACCCTGCACATAGCAGGGGGTTGAAACTAGATGATCATTGTGGTCCCTTTTCAACTCAGGTGATTCTATACTTTTTAACCAAAGATATTTAAAAAATAATAACTAAAAAATAGAACAAATGTGTAAATGTGTTTTAGAAAAGCCTCCAAAATGGCTGATGAGAACTGTTGATACTCCCTGCTTTGCTGCTGAGGAGCAGAGCTCCCCAGAATGCAGTGCTATGGGTGAGGAACCAACCTGAGAGAGAACAGCCTCTGGGCTGGCTGAACCACAGCTCTGGTAAGGTCCTAGTGTCAAAGCCTCCATTCATTCCAGTTGTTTTCCCAAGAAACTAAACATCCATTTCAATAATCAAATGTTTCGGAGGGTGGGGAGCGGGGGGGGGGGGGAAGTTAAAATTCATAAAAAATAAAGAGAATAATTTTTAAGGAAATTTTTTTAATGAGTTCTAATCTGGATGTAGAGCATATTAGTCCTATACAGATGGTTGGTGATTCCCAGTGTCTTGGCAAAGGAAGTGAGGATCTACACAGTCACAACATCACAAAAGCAAACACAATTTTTCCTGTATTAGTGCATACTTATCCCAGTTCTTTGCTGTGGTAGAAGCTTACCATACAATACTTCCATCAGAAACTCAGATGGCTTAAAGAGAAGGCAGCCAGATGTGCTGCATGCACTTTGATAATGTTGCTCATTTACCATTTTATCCAGTGGTTAAATGATCTTTAAATCTTTTACTCCAGGTCCTGAAGACACAGGACTATGTAAGACCATCATTTTTCAATTTTCTAAACAATACTTCCAATTCTTGTGAAAGATAAAGAAAGCCATTAAAGGTAACAACTAGTCCATTCCTTCCCACGAAGCTCCAGCCCTTTCCTGCACCACAAGCTGAAGCACCAGGAGGCCATTAACACAATCCAGAAACAGGCTTTTAATCTCTAGTTTGTTGAAATCTGCCTCATTGTTTACCTTTTTCTTAGCAGTTGGCATTAACTATAATTAATGCTGCCAATGTTTTCCTTCCCAGGAAAGATGTTTCTTCTCTGGAGCTCTATCAAGGTCTGGAGAAGCCTTCCCCTGTGTCTCTGCCTCTCATTTCTCACTCATAGGAAGAGCAGCTAAGTCAAGCAAAGGAAATCTTATGTTCTTCTCAGGAGCAGAGAGGCACTTCCATGCGGGAAGATCAGAAAACAAACAATCTAGGTAAAAAGCAATCAGGAAAAAAAATCAAGGAACTCCAAACACCCTTCCTTTTTCTTCTCCATTCCCACAGAAATTTGGCTCAGATGTTGCTGATAAGCTCTCTTCTCCCAAGAAATACTGATGGCAGGCAGCTGATGGCAGAACTCAGAGCAATCTGATGAGCCACCAAACAGAGGCTATCAGTACAGCTGTTTTTTTCTCAGCAGAGTATATCCTACTATGGGTTAAAACTCCCAAATGACATTGATATGATAATTGGGGTTAAGATGGGCTCTGTATGGGGCAGATCTCTGCTTGCTTCTTATTTTTGTCCTTCCTGCAAGGTGAGGTGTCCAAGAGAGGAATTTCTGACTGGCCATTTGCAGCAGGATGATTGCTAGCTCCTTTTCACTTCCTGAGCTCCTCAGAAGTGCCAGATCAGATTTGAGGATCTAGCCTCTTATTTTTTTATTACTGTCCCAAGGATAGAAGAGCACCCTCTTCACTTGTCAGCA